CCGCCAGTCCTCCCCCAGGCACAAGCCCCAGCCTGAAGAGGAGGTGATGAGGAGGTAGCCACAGAAGTGGATGCCCGAAGATGAAGTAAGCTCTCAACCTGGACTAGAGCCCCGCCAGGTAGATCACCTAGACCGCAATGAGCCAGAGTATTGTCACGATCAAGCCCTGTCTGTCATTCCATCAAGTCTGAGCCTCGGGTATCGAGAGCTTTGATGCCTGCAGGCTTGAAGTGAGCCAACATGATCTGAACCATGTTCTGTGAAGGATAAAGCATGACCAGCCGAGGTCGCCGCAAAGTAGCAGGGCCAGAGCATGGAGAAGAAAAGAAGGCGAAGCCCCCAAGAAAAGGACCAGCCCTTGCAAGATCTGAGCGCGCTGCCCGAGGTAAAGCCAAAAGCACTCCGGCCTGAAGGGGCGAACGGCGGATTGGATGGCCGGGGTCCAATCCCCTTGTGCCCTAGTCAGGCTTCATGTTTTGCCTTCTTGGCCATCATAGCCTCAAGGGTGTCGAAACGGCCATTCATCTCCTTGGCGAAATCGCTCTTGACTTCGTGCACTGCAGTTTGAACAAGCTGGTGGAATTTGGCTTGTCCGGTTTGCACTTCGTTACCAAGCCGCTGGATCTCCTGCTGTTGCTGTAGGGCCTGCTGTTGCAACTCGCTGATGGATGCCTGAGTGCTGCTGCAAGTGTGGTGCACGTCCTGAAACCATTGTGAGAATTGTTTGTTCTGTGCTTGTATCTCGCAAAGCCCGCTCTCGAGCTGGAGAATGCGTTTGTCTTGTTCCGGGTTGGCTGGACTGACCTGCTGAAGTTTGGAGTCCAGCTCTTGCTGAACTTCCTGCCTGATCTCCTTGGCCAAATCGTCGTACCTCCTGACAGGGGCTGCTGGAGCGGCCAAGGAGCTGGAGGCTTGGGAGGACCGGAAATTGGCCCATGGGTCCTTGCTGTTGCCGTTGTACCATGGGTCTGTTGAGGCAGTCTGTGAAGTGGCCGCCGTGTTGCGGATGTGCTGCTCGGTTTTGCGAGTGGCCATGACAGTGGGCTTTGTGACTGTGGATGCCTTCTTGGAAACTGCCGTGATGATGATGTCCAGCTTGAAGCCCGGCATGATCGCCTGAGGTGGCGGGTCAGAAGCCCCGACAGTCCATGCCATGTAGTCAGCATTACCTTTGCCGGGTTGCAAAGGCTTGGCTTGCCAATTCCATTCTTTCAGCAAAGCACTAATGGCCGCCTTCTGGGTCCCGTGCGGCAAAGGCATGAGACTGTAGACTTGCTTGACTTCAACATCCAAAAATGGAACACCAGGTCCAAGAGCCTTGAAGGCAGTAGCTTCATCCTTGGCAAGTACCCGGACTCCAAAACGCTGTTTGATGCGCATGAGGCAAATAGTCTTGGAACAGGTCTTGGCCTGATGTGAGGCAGCCAAAAAGTCCAATCCAGGCAGCCATATGACTCTGTAGCGTGGATCCGGGCCTTTGGTGGTCTGGCAGCGCGGCTCAAAGAAGAGGCCTGCCGGCTGCTGTTGTAGAATCTGTTGAACCATAGATGCTGGTACCCTGATCAGCACTGAAAAGCAGTCTGCCTCCGTGGCCTCGGTCCGTTTGCCCTCCATTGAAGTAAAAAGCCGGCTCCAAAGGTCAAGGATGACCCCATCGTACTGCTCGTCAACTGCAGGATGGGCCTTCAAACAATCTGCAACCTTGCCAGTGCGTTTGCTGTCCTTGCAGAGCTGTAGTGCAGGAGTAGCTTCCATGATTTCACGGATGGGAGCCTTTGAGAGGGCGTCCCACGAGGGGCCAAGAATGTCCCGATAGGCCTGGATTTTGAGGACTGCCGATGCAACAATGGCAGGCTGCGGCATAGAGGTGGATGCCTTTCGCTTGACAGGGATATCGCCCAGCTGAAGGAGTCCCCCAAAGAAGACCACAGGTTCCTCAGTGGCTTTGTATTTGGCCGGGATCATGCACTTCTGGATGTTGGCTGCCGAGATGATGTCTTCCTCAGGTAAATCAATGAGAGCCAAGGCAAGTGCGTCAGAGCTAAGGCTACTCGAGGCAAAGAAAGGTGCTGCCCCTTCGGCATTGCAAAGGGCAATTCCGCTGTGGTCTGCGGCGACGTCTTGGAAGTCAATGGCTCCAATGGTGTTCCCATCTTCGTCGACAAAGGTGTTGGGAAAAAGTTCAATCGCTGAAGGGTCGACCTTGATGGGCTTGGCCGCAAGTTTCTTCTCCTTGTTGCCTCTTTGTTTCTTGGCAGAGGAGGAGGCGCCAAAGTGGGTCTTCTCGCGATCCTGCACGTGCTGTGACAACTCAAGCGGTGTCACCAAGCGAATACGAAAGGCAGGTTTGCTGGCTTCGGCTTTGAGTGCTGCCCATGGAGTCTTGGACCTCAAGGTGGATTGTACCAAGGAGGCTCCAAGCTTGTCAATGACCATGGTGGCTCGGTCCCTAGATTGATCAGCAGGTACACTGTGATCATGCAGCAACGCGGCTAGTTCACTGAGTGTTTCAGCCCGCCCGGTGGGGCCACTGCCAACGAAGTCCCCCTTCCGATCGCGCCGGAGCAGATGAGCATGGATCCGAAGAATGTGGTCTTCGGTGAAGCTCCCCGGAAAGCCCAATGCAAGGCAGGCATGAATGATGGCGATGGTGCCGCAGGTGTACTCCTCGTTCTGAGTAAAGAGAGAACGGGCGTCAAAATCCACTGCTGAAAGTCCAAGCCATGAAGAGATCTGCCGAGAGAGCAAACGGGCCGAAGAAAGGAGCCGGTCTCGAAGTCCATCGTAGTAAGTCCAGGAGATGCCCTCTGACTGAATAATTCCATGCAGCAAAGCCCAACGCTCATCTGCTGGGAAGATGCAAAGGATCTGAGCCGGCCCTTGTGTAGCCGCTGCTGCGGGTGCAGGAAGCGAAGGTGCTTGAAGAAATGCATTGGCCTGCGTAGGTGAAAAGGCAAGAACGGGCCCAGCCGAGGTAAGTCCCCTCTGCCGAATCAGGCTTTGAAGTGTGCTCCAAATCACAGGGTCTCCAAGGCCAAGACGAGTACCGTCAGTGTGGTGCGTAGGAGGACCCCTGCCAACCAGAGAATGCCAACCACTAACGAGCCAAGGCAAAGTGGTAAGGCGCAAGGAGCGCCAGAGTCTGAAGTCCGCACCGTAGACCCTCCCCAAATCATCCCGCAGGAAGAGGGTATGCTGAAGCTGATGTTTCCGAAGAATGGAAAAGAGAAAGCTGCCTGGCTCAACGCACTCGATGATCAGTGAACCCTCATGCGCAATGCCGACAACCAGCACACCCGTAGGGCATTCCCGGACTTGATGTTTGCCATGGCTTTCTAGCAGGTAGGAGCCGTTCTGCTGAAGGACTGCCTCAGTAGCAATGGGGAGAGTGTCCCCGATGGTGACCTGACTGTGTTGCCCCCATTCCAGTTGGATCCTTTCTGCCGAAAGAAGTGAGCCAGCCGTAGAAGCCCTGCTGCAAAGGATCTCCAGGCAGGCGCCATTGGACCAAAGCTGAAAATGCAGAGGAGGCGAGTCCATGGCAGGGAAGCCATCATCATGTATCTGCCGCAGGATTTCCTTCTTGTAGTTGTCCAAGACTTCGGTGGCCCTGAGAACTTCTTCTGAGCCGGTAGCAAGCTGAAAGTTCTCAACAAGGGAGGCGTAAACCCAAACCATCTGGATGGGAGAGGCTATCAGGCCTAGAAGGCAGTTGCTTTCTCTTGGCTCCAAGATCAGCTGAACAGAATCTGGTACTCCAAGAAGCGCAGCAAGTTCCCTAGGATGAAGGAACCTGGGATTGCCGTGAACCTGCGAAGGGACCCAACAGCCTCGGAGGCCGTGTTCCAGAAGGGTGTCGAATCGGAATCCTGCTGACCTGCAGTGGCAAGGACAGGGCCTCGTGGCGTTGGAATACGAGTGCAAAAAAGTAGGGGCTATGCTATCCAAAGTAAGGCACCTGTCTTCTTTGCCAAGCCGTGGATCCAGATAAAGAGCTAGCTCGTCGGTGTCCAGTTGAAGCTCTGATTCGTCCGGTTCGCTCCAAGTGCCCCACTGAGGAAGTACCTGCCCAATCCTGAGTGGAGCGGCAATGTTGGGCCAAGGCTGTAGTCCATGATGATTCCATTTGGACGGGATCAGAAGAACCCACCACCTTAGTCTTCGGCAAGGCCATTGGGTGCCTAAGTCGAATGTGAGATCCAAGACATCGAAACCCATCGCCTGAGCGAAAATGGAAATGGCATGACGCGTGTCCAAGTTGGATCTGGCTTTGGCGACACATTCCAAGATCACTGCCTGAGGCTGCGTGAACCAAAAGACTTTGAGGCCTGAAAGCAACACGAAGGCTCTTTTGTCTTGCCAGCCTAACATTAGACCCTGCGAACTGTATGGTTGACAGGGAAACCCAAGGGTGCCTGTGAAACCATGATCCGGGCAAGCAGCATGAATCGAACGAGGAGCCAATGGATCGTTCAAGTCCAGATCCAAGACATGTCCGTGAGAGTTGGCCCTCAAGTGGCGAATGGAAAGAGGAGAGAAATCCACCGACACAGCCGGCACAGCACCTAGAAAGGCAGTCCCTATCGACATGCCCCCAAACCCGGCGCAAAGCTCAAGCAGGAAAGGAGCCAGCGGTTCTTTTGGATCAGTGGCACGCTTCCACCAAAAGTCAGAGGCAGGCACCAAAACCAGGCAAGGTGTGGTCTCAAAGACCTCCAAGCCGTAAAAGGTCACACGACCGGCGGCACATGCGGACCTAACAAGGTGCACTCAATCCCGAAAGGCAGGATGCGAAGGCCACAGCCATCGGTGGCCGAATCCAAGACATCAGCCACCACGTCAACCCGATCACCCACCTCACGTGGGGGGGAGCCGAAAATGAGAGCGTCCATGGCTAGTCGGCCCTGTCCCGAGCTGTCGGCCGTCGCGGGTTACCTCTGGAAGGCACTCGGGCAGAAACACCTGAAAGGGCGGGCAGTAAAACGAGTCATGACCGCCAGGTGATGGAAGCACATGGCCCCAGCCCAAGCGTGGTCAGCTACGGCAGCGCTTGCGCCGCGTGTCGCGGGCACTGGAAAGAGGCGGTAGCTGTTTTAGCACGGGCGCGAGATCAGCAGGCGTGGGGTTAAACTCGAGGGAAGGGTTTGGGAGGAGACTTTGCAATGTTGATCAATCTTGTACAGAAACTAGATGATGTTTGGACTTTGGTCTTCTTTGTTGCACAAGGCCATGCCACAGCAAGGTACTGCCCGATGTGCGTCTTTTCAAAGTCATTCAGCAAAGTGATTCAACCACGAGGTACAAGTGGATTCAATCTTGGTGTGTTCTGCAATCAGTGCATGTGAGAAGAGCAGCCAGTGGCAAATGGCCCTCGATCTTGTCAGCTCCATGTCCTCTCAGACTGAAGCAACAGCAGGATACAACTCAGCCATCAGCGCCTTGAGTGCCTCGGGATGGACCAAGTCTTTGCGTCTCTTTGAACAAATGAGTCTCCGCGGGCTCCAAGTGGACCTGATCACCATCGGCGCGACCATGAGTGCCTTTGAAACCGGACAGTGGCCCAAGGCGTTCGGGGAGATGATCCGACCGACTCAGTCGAAACTGATTCATGAAAGCCATGTTTTGGCATCTTTGCTTCATTCTGTGGATGGATCAGGGAATTCACCGAAAAGTCGCCAGTGCAGACATCTTTCATTTAACACAGTTGGCAACTGGGCCATTTGAGTCATGCAGAATTTGAGTATGCAGGCGTTCCACCTGCTGAATTCTGCCTGCTGCAAGCACTTAGAACCAGGCGTCGGGTTGCTTGGAACCATGCTGCCAGATACAGACGTCCAGTTGGAAGTATCCACTTACCTTCGTGCTTCGATGAAATAATGTCGAGCAATGCTTTGTTCTGTTTGCTGCGGGCTCGGATGACTATTTTCCTCTACAACCCAGTGGCTTTCAGGTTCCATGCTAATCTTCCAGGGCGTACCTGTTTTCAGACTTGCAGCGAGTGCAGTGAGGTCGTTGCATTTGGTGCAGCAGTCGCAAGTGCTAGACCAAGTTGGAGCAATGCCTTCCAGGTGCTCACCGAGCCACTTGACCCGAATCATTCACTAAACGGCCAAATGCTGCCAAGACCAAGGTGCTTTTTGGTTGTGACATTCCAGGCTTTCTGAAAATATATGAGTGCTTTTCCAAGTCAGTGTACATTCATTTGCCGGACAGTGTGATAATGCCATGTAGGCTGGCTGTTGCTTGCAAGCTGTTGGGCTGGTGAATTCTTGAAACTTGGGACCCGTCGCCTGGGTTGTAGACCTCGCGCCGCACGCTGGTTGACCAAGGCTGGGCCACCGGGGCTTGAAGTGCGAGGTTGCAGTTTGCGGAGCTGTATCTTGGACGCAAGAGCGATATCATGCGGTATTCACCGTCCCCACAGATTGCTCGCACATAGTAGAATTGAATTTGTTCAACGTTCGTCAGCCTTTTTAGTAGCACAATAGGCAGAAAACTGCTGTGGCCTTGATGTTCCAAGATGTTCCAAGAGAATTGTCGGTCTTTTCATTTGCACTTTGGGAATGTAGCTCATTAAGTCATAAGGATGTTGCAGCAACAGGGTGTTGATGTGGCAAGCCTGAATGTCCAATTAGGAGATTTAATCCAAGGTCCTTTCTTCCTGTGAACGAAGCTCGCAATGGCTGAAGGCACTCAGCGGTTCAAGTCAGAAGAGAGTGGTCGGACAGAGGTTGGTTGGTTCCACGTTTGTGCAGATGCAATGGGGCTTTCTTTCACTCTCTGTCTCTCTCTCTCTCTCTCTTTCTTTCTCTCTCTCTCTCTCTCTCTCTTCACGTCGCAAGTAGGTTGGAGGCCATCTCAAGTAGGTTGGAGGCCATCGCTACTAGGTTGGAGGCCATCGCTCGTAGGTTGGAGGCCCTCACTTTTAGGTTGGAGGCCATCGCTACAAAGATGGGCCCCCCTAGTTGGAGAACTTGTAAAGTGCCGTAACATATGTTATAACATGGGTTAACTGATGTTGTAAGCTGGTCTAAGATTGTGAAGTGTTCTAAGTTCTTGGTGGTATTTACGTTGCAGTTACAAATTACTTTCGATATATATAAGTAAGTTATCCTAGTTTATGTTGGAGGGTGCTAAATTAGTGCTAAATCACTTACAACATACTTAGGGAACTTAGGTTTTTGCATTGAAAAACTATGTTTTTTGTGGACGGGTTTGCAGAGAAGCGTTTTTCAATGTTTTTTGGTGTACTCTTCTTTTTTGTGTAGAACTGAGACTGATTAGCAAATCTTTGTATTTTGTGTTGTTTTGGAAACATTTTTTCTGTTTTTATGGGCGCGATTGTTTTTTATGTTTTAGTCGTGAAAAATTTGTGGGGCGGTGGTCCACCCGTACGACAGAGTAGTACTTTGCACACAGAAACACATAAAGATGCAACACGCACACGTAGTAGAATATAGTGTAACGAATCCATTATGTAGGCCATGGAACAACTAGAAGCCATTAAGCTGGATCACGTTCGAAGATTGAGGAGTAGATCCTTGCCTGTCCGTGACGCATCACAAGACGCACACACACAGTCCCTCAAAAGATCTGATGTAACCTGATGAACAAGAGGCTATATGTACAGTAGATGTACGGGAATGTACGGTAATGTACGGTACATCTACCGTACATCTACCGTACATTACCGTACATTCCCGTACATCTACCGTACATTACCGTACATCTACCGTACATTACCGTACATCTACTGTACATATAGCCTCTTGTTCATCAGGGCGCACCGCGTTTTTTGGGCACCGGCCACAACTTTTTGGACGGACCACCGCGATCAAAATTTTTGGACGGACCACCGCCATCAACTTTTTTCGACGGACCACCGCCTTCAATTTTTTGGACGGACCATCGCCTTCAATTTTTTGGACGGACCACCGCCCAGCGTGTTCCTAACACACAGATGTAGGTCATTGTGTGTGTGTTCTGTTTTTCTTACGCGCTTTGATGGTTTAAAGTAGAAAGTGTTTTTCTTTTAGCGCGGTGGTGGTCCACCGAAGAAATTCGAAGCGCATTTTTTGCTTTTTTTGTTTTGCTTTTTGCTTTTCTTCAGCAAAGCGGCGCGGTGAGTGTTCTACATGAAAAACCCTTGCAACAGCAGCGCTTTCCCAGGTAAAAAGCATAGTTTTTCGATGTCCTTCGGTTTGGGCCTTGCTACTGGGAAACCTGAAAAAACATAGTTTTTGAACATCAAAAACCACCTATTAGAACTTATAGAACTTAAAAATAGTTACATTTAAGTTACATCTTACTTACGAAGCCCTCCGGCTAACTTAGTTTTAAGTAATTTGTAACTTCACCAAGTAAGTTACAAGTGTTTCAACTAGGGGGGCCCATCTTTGTAGTAGGTTGGAGGCCATCGCTTTTAGGTTGGAAGCCATTGCTAGTAGGTTGGAGGCCATCGCTATTAGGTTGGAGGCCATCGCTCGTAGGTTGGAAGCCCTCACTTTTAGGTTGGAGGCCATCGCTAGTAGGTTGGAGGCCATCGCTTTTAGGTTGGAAGCCATGGCTAGTAGGTTGGAGGCCATCGCTATTAGGTTGGAGGCCATCGCTATTAGGTTGGAGGCCATTGCTAATAGGTTGGAGGCCATTGCCAATAGGTTGGAGGCCACCGCTAGTAGGTTGGAGGCCATCGCTATTAGGTTGGAGGCCATCACTAGTAACAGTAGGTTGGAGGCCATCACTAGTAGGTTGGAGGCCATCGCCATGCATTGGGTTGGAGGCCATCGCTAGTAGGTTGGAGGCCATCGCCAGTAGGTTACGGTTAGAGGCCACGATAGTAGGTTGGAGGCCATCGCTACTATATTGGGTTGGAGGAGGCCATCGCTAGTAGGTTCGCTAGCAGGTTGGAGGCCATCGCCATTGGGTTGGAGGCCATCGCTAGTAGGTTGGAGGCCATCGCTAGTAGGTTGGAGGCCATCGCTAGTAGGTTGGAGGCCATCGCTAGTAGGTTCGGGGCCATGGAGTTGTTTCGGATCATCGCTCTGGGCATTGTTGGGCCTGTCGGCCACCGGCGCCGGAGGCCATTGGCATTCTTCAGCAGCAAGAGACTTCTGGTCCAGCGCCAAATGTTGTAGCCTACAGTTCCACCATCTCAGCATGTGAGAAGGCCAGGAGATGCCAGCAGAGTCGCGTGTCATCGAGTGCAGCTTAGGGTCATGAGGTGGTGATTTTGTAAGCACCAATCTCACCTATCACATACTTGCTTGCGCGTACAGTACTCATACTTGCACTGCACTTCCACTGCACCACCAGGCTCACCGTTGGGAAGTCGCTCTTTACCTTCTGTGTCATGGATGAACTGCGCTGCTGTTTCGCAAGCGCTCGAATGTGGGTGTTTGTGCTGAAACGTGACCTAGGTGGCAAATGTGGAGATTGGGGCCCAAGCCAGATCTCATTGCACTGAATAGTGCCATCAGTGCTTGTGCTACGTCGGGACGTTGGGAAGAAGCACTGCAACTAGGTGGGGTGTGTTGGTGTGGAGACTGGTCTTGGAAGAGAGGCACAGCTGTGGAAAGTTGAAGAACATCTGAAAACACCAAGTCCGGTGTGTCCGAAATGGGCTGGAAACCAGAGTCAGAGTAGCTCAACTCCAGATTTCATCCGCTTCTTTTGGGGTTGTTTCATGTCACTGCCCTGGGGCTTGCCTCCAGATTTAATCCAGTCTTAACTTCATCCACTAAATTTGGCTTCAATTTGGATGGGAGCCTTGCTATAATCCATGCAGACTTTCCCATGGCTATATACAATTTAGTTTCCACCCGTTTGTTTGTGCCTGATGTATTGAAGGATTTACTTTGGAGTTGATCTTGTTGAACTTCGCGTGTAAGTGGCTTGACTTTGAAGTTGGTCGTGTTGGAATTCATACGTAAGTGGCTTGACCTTGGAGTTGATCTTGTTTAAATTCATATGTACCGTAATTGGCTTTACTTTGGATTTGGAGTTGATCTTGTTTTTGAAGGGTCTGATAGACTAGAACTTGGCTTGCAACACATCTGTGTTTGCAGCCTCAATCAGATCAAGGTCTTGCTCTTTATCCTGTAAGGAAAGGAGATGCTTTATCGTAGATCTCATGGTGAGGCTGCAGTGATTGGTTTGGATCCTGCTGAAAATGTTGTGGCTTCCGTTGCGCCTCATAGAGTGAACAACCGAACAACCCCCGAAGAAGAACAAAGGAGGTGGTGCTTGCAAAGCTTGGCAAAGGGTGGCGACTTTTGAGACCAGTGGTGACTTGAGACTTGCTGCTCGCAAGTGGCAGCGAGAGAAGGATGTTATCCATCGGCCCTTGTCCACTAGTAGCAGCAAGAAGAAGCAGTGTATCTTGGCTCATTGTGCTGCCTGCGCCGATTGCTCCAAGCAGCTTTGCTCACCCCCTACCACTTAGTCGTTGAAAGTGTTGGCGCCTGCACTGACAACAAGGACGGTGTTGGCCAAACTGCGTGTGCTGAGTGAAAAAGCAGACATGTGAAATGTCGATGCGTGCGTAGATAGGAAGATACAGTAAGACAAGTATTCTAGTTGACAGTGGACGGTTAGATATGATATAGATAGATGTGGTACATATATATATATATATAGATAGATAGACAGATAGAAACATGGCTTTGGTCATGTCTCTTGAAGAGAACGAAGAAGCGCACAAAGTGTGCTGCCAGCAGAGCTCACCCTGCTTCGCGTCTCAGAGACCTTGGCCTTGGTCAGTTTCTCGCTGTGTGCGCCAAAATTCCAGTGGATGTGCAAGGGTCTGTGCCCTCGTTGCAAGGCGGTCTGGTGAGACTGCCTTTGTGTAACCTCCGGCCCCAGACTTTCGAACACAGGCGGTGGCCTATTTGAAGGACCTCCGATCTTTCTTCGCGGACAAGATTTCTTCAAACTTCAGGAAAATTCCAGCAATATCTTGACAATATACTTCGCCCCTTTTCTTGGGAGCGCGACCAATTCTGGAACACAGCGAGGCTGAATCCCAAAGCCGCTTTTTGCACGCCAGCCTCACTTCGAGGGAGGCTTGGGCCCGAAGTGCAGATTGTGCACGTTGGCCAGTCTCACTTCGAAGCAACTGCTCCAACACAATCGCGGCCAGAGACAACCGACGAAGCAGTGCAAGCAAAAACTCATTGGGAAGAGATGCGACCGCAGGCACCGCAGTCAGTCTTGGAAAAGCAGGTTAAATCCAGAGTTGAGCGCTGGAGAGGAATCCGGGAAGAAAACATCTTAGAGTCAGATTTCCAATTTAGCAAACAAATGGGACAAAGTAACCCACCCAACCTTAGATCCAACCCTTTTGTAGCCACGCTTGTGGGATGGTGGTATGAGCCAGCTTAGATCCAGAGTTGACCATGTGTCTTCCCTGGGTTGAGACATGTCGTGAAGAGGTGTCTCGGGAACCCTTTGAGCATGCCCTCCGTTCCCCAGGGGACGATGCGAGTTCAGAGTCACTTCACTTGCAGCTTGTCGAATCTCATCAAGTACTATTTGAGTTTGAAGCGACTTATTTAGCCAATTTCGGTGCACTTGAGCCGCGGTCAAAATCATAGCGAGCAGGTTTTATATAAAGTTGATCATTTTTGGTGGGATCTTGTGCACATTCCTTGGAAAACGAAACCGGAAAACCAAAAACGAAACCTCTTGTGGGATGTTTGCATGCATATCCTCTTGGAGTGCGTGAAATGTGGTGTCTCAAAACGAAGCCCCAAACGAAACCAAAGTCCACGAAAAAGTGTCCTTTGTAGACCCTGCCCCAAATGTCCTGTACTGTAAGAAATTCCTTTGCTGTACTGGTAGGTTTTTAAAGAAGTTCCTCTGCTGTACTTCACATTGTAAAGGTCTAGTGGTAATACAACTCACCTGGTGAACAAACAGAGCATAGTAATCGAACTGGTGCAATTCCTTGGAAAACGAAGCCGGAAAACCAAAAACGAAGCCTCAGTAGAAACGATCCAATTGTTTAACTTAATTTTGCCGGTCGTTCATTTGCATGCATTTGCAGAAACTATCTCGATCTCGAACATTTCAACACATTTGTTTTGACTTTGGAGTGAGGAATCTCATCAGCTACAACTCCATGGTGAGTGCGCTGAGTGTGGGTCAAGACTTTCAACATGCTCGAGAACTCCAGGCTGGCAAAAGGGTTTCGATCAAGTGCTTGCTCTAATAAATTTCGGTTGATAAAGCCTGATCCCAGCTCTTAATCTTTCATCCACATTGATGCTTCCATACTGATCCATGATGCATCCAAGTTCAATCTACCGTCTACCTTTGTTGTCAAACGTCCCACAACTGGTCAAGCACCCAAACTCTTCAGTTTTTCATTTGCTTTATTTCGTTTTCTTCAAACATGCCAAACACATTCCCTTAAAAGGCGCTCGAAATTGTTGTATTTGGCTCCACATTCTGTGTCATGGCAGGTGCTGGAGGACATGCATCAGGCGCAAGTGACACCTGACATCATCACCTACAACGCGCTGCTGGGCGCTTGCACCAGACGTGCGGATTGGCAGACCGCGATGGCATGGCTGGACGAGTTGAGTGACGCTCCTCGACTTAACTTTTTATGGGCGGTGGACGGGCGTGGCCTGGTATATAGATGCCTAATACGTACCAGCCTTTCAATTATCCTTTTTTTACAATTCAATTTATTGTTGCCTTGATGGGCGCAAGATGTTGTAGATTTCCATGAGATACCAACTTTGACTGAGTTGGCAGATAGCCGATCATTGCATCAACGGATTGCAGGACTTCTATCATTTTGCATTGGACACTGGCGGACACTAGGTTCACACACTGTGCATGTATGACACTATTCTCATTCGCTTTCTTCAACCGTTTCTGTTTACTAGACGGTTGAAGACTTGAGCGAGCGGTTGTTTGATCCGCACAGGGATTCGTTTGCTGCTTCGTCCATGCCGCCACAGGCGTAACCCACACACTACACAACTACACAACCTGTTTTTCTTGCCTTGGTGCCTGGGTTGTAAGGCTTCATTGGTGCCTGATGTTGTGACCTATGGGACCACTTTGGCAGTCTTTGACCAGGCGGAGCAGTGGGAGATGGCTTTGCAGCTCTTTCTGGAGCTACAGCGTTCAACTGTCCAGCCACCGTGCACACTTTTCAATTCGGCCATGGCATCATGTGCAGCTCGGCCGAGAAAAAGAACACGTTTGTCAGACACAAAAGAACATGTATGTAGGTGTATAGAATAGAAGACGTATTTGTTGGAACGATATAAGAATATAAAGAATCATGATGAATCATGGAAAGTTCCAAAGTTTGCCCACTCCCAGGAACGTGCCAGCCATTGGCCAAATGCCTTGGCCTTTTTCGATCAAAGCGGCAACCAAAACGATGCCCGTGGATTCAATACAGCTATGAGGGCCTGTGGCGCTAGTCGCTCGGTGGGATGATTGGCCGGAAGCATAGAGGTTGATGGAGCTGCGGGTCTTCATGAGCTTTCTTTATATACTATATAAGTGGTATATTGTGGCATGTTGTGGCTATAGATGTCACAAAAAAGGGTGGCTCTTGTCACATTGACCTAAGCATGGCATTTGTTGCGGACACCATCGGGGGAGTTGAAGCAAATACTGGCCTTTGTTACAGTCATCGAAGACTTCTCCTCTAGCCGGATCTACCCAGGATACCCTACAACTGGATCATCCAGCTTCCTGACCTAGGCCCCTAGTCATCGCGGTCTTCAGTTTGGTTTCCACCTATTGTCAATTCCAATTTGTTCAAGCTTTGAAAGCTTATGTGTGTGTGTGGATTCCAGGTTGTTCCCCACAGAGGAGTAAGCGTGCCTTCTATTTGCAGGAAATATCGCTTCATCTCGCTTCCGTTTTGATGCTGTTTGCTTTCCTGGAGAAGCTTTGGGATGAAACCAAAGCAACGAATCAACGAATCAAGTATATAACCAGTAATCTCTTGGTATCACCAGGTGCATTGACACGGGTCACCTAGCGCCTGGGTTTCAATCTGTCCCAGTTTGTGCAAACGATATGGGGTGTTTCAATGCTAAGATTCCTTCCACCAACACAAATGTGCAACATGGATGAACATGGAAAAATCCGAGGTTTGCACATGAATGGATCCTGTCATTCACTTGTTTGATCTGAGGGATTTGGAGAAGCTCACTGCTGCTCCTTTCTTCCATGCAGCTCTACAGGATCGATGCAGATTGCAAGTCTTATTTGGCCATTTCGCTCAATGTGGCCAAGAGCGGCCAGGCATGTCGACAGGGTTTCACACGTCAAGTAACTGCAACGTGGCAACAGGTGAAGTATGAAGCCACTCTTGCCACTCTTCAGGTGGAAAGCACCATGAGAGGTCCTGCTTTCTTTCCCAGGTACTCTTGTTGAATTTGTTTTAGAAGAACCCAGTGGAGGAAAGAACACTTTCAATTTGTGAGTCTAGTACTTGTAGGTCTCTCACACTGGAAAATCCATGGAAAACATGTGCAATGACACATGTCAGGTTCAGCTACTCCCACAGCTGATGGGTCATATGAGCTTCAGTGGTCTTCGCTTCGCGAGAGAACTTCAACGGAGGCCTGTGCTTGTCATTCGATTGTTTACAATGCCTTTAGAGCTTTGCCATGAATGTTGCAGGTTTATTTCACTGGCAAAGCAGTACTCGGGGTGAATTTCCCATTCCCTTGCAGCTTTGAGCCATCCATATGCATCGGAGACGCGATACGGAAAATTGAGGCGCAACAAACATGGACACGCCGGTGAATCTTGCCTTCATCAATCATCAGACCTTCAATGGTTTGACGAACATTACACATGGACAAACTATGATATAAAGACGGTTGACACTCCCACACTCTCATTGATGCTCAACAAAAACATTTAAAACAACGGAATAGAGATGGTTTGCTTCTCCAAAACTCGAACGCCTCGATGGCCTTCTTATTTCGTGTTCCAACGCTCCGCGCACGACGTGCTCGTTCCGCCTGCGCCATGTCGAGTGCGGACAGCCTACCGAGCCTCCCGGATTTCTATGCCGGTAAAGGGATCTTGCTCACTGGAGTCACGGGCTTCGTTGGCAAGGTCTTGTTGGAGAAGCTGCTATGGGAGTTCTGTGATCCAAGTGGGACAAGCCCGATGATCTACGTCTTGGTGAGGCCTACTTATTGATTGATCAGCATGTTTTGAAAAGAAAGCCAGACCTTTAAGGTCTCGACATTTTCAGATTCTAGAACTCTGAGGCCCTAAGGCCCACTCCTTTTTCTTCGTCCACAGATTGACAAGGTGCAGCCAGGTGATGTTCGTTGTTTCTGCGACCTCGTTTGGAGGTCTTCGAAGGAGGTCTCTTCGGAGGATCGCCTCGCAGACCTCCTGGAGTCACCCGCCTTTCAACGAATCCGAGGAAGACAGGAGTGCAGCGTGAATGCCCTGAGCTACTGCTTGCGAGCGGTGGATGGTGACCTGGAGAGAGACCATTTGGGTCTTCCAACTTACGATGAACTCTCTGGAACGGCCACTCTGCCAGGGTGGTGTTTGTATGTTGTTGTGTTTCCTATTTTTGTCTATATGATATATATGGTTTAATGCCCCCATAACTAAACACGAATCAGTGTCAATTTCCACGGAGCTTTGGGCTCGAGACAAGCTTTGATGCCCACGTGCACCGCCTGCAAGAAGTGGGACTTGCTAGCGGGACGGTGCTCTGTCTGCTGTGGGCTTTGGTTACAAGTCCTAGGATCCCGGCGACGAGAGAGGCCGAAGCCAAGGTCACAAAGTGCTTGGACAACGCTTTCTACGCGGTCGGGCGCTTAGTGCCGGAGGAGGACGAGGAAGAGCCTAAGGGAGAAGAGTCTCCCAGCCGAGGAAAGAAGAAAGAAAAAGAGAAAGGAAAGGGAGAGGCGTCTCCCAAAAAGCCCGAGAGTCAGCAAAAGGAGAAGCCCACTAAGGTTAGAGAGGAGCCGAAGCCCAAGGAAGAGAGTTCAAGCCCTTCAGGTAAGAAGAACGTGGAGAAGGAGGAGCAGAAGAAGCCGGCCGATTCAGAGAAAAGCCAAGGGAGCAAAGTATTGCCTAAGAAGAAGGAAGAAGAGGAGAAAAAGCGAGCCAGGAGCAAGACCCCACAAAGACAGCGAGAGAAGGATAAGAGGAAGAGAGACAGAGTGACAGAAAGGACAGCAGATCCAGGTCGATCAGCGGCTCAAGGCGCAAGAAAAGGGAGGATCACTCTCCCAGGTTTGAGTCAGAAAGAGGAGTGAAGGATTCAGCAAAGCCAAGCAGTGGAATTCAGAGCCAGCGCGAGCCCAGATCTCCAAGGACCCCAGATCATCCACCGCCTCGGACGTCCTTGATCCCGCCAGCAGCAGGTCGAGATACACTTCCAGGAAAAGGTTGGAGAGGTCCGATCCCTTACTCAAGCCACCCCCGGTGGAGCGAAGGGACAAACAAAGGAGTGACCAAACGCGCCAAGCAAGAGCTGTACGACCGAAAGAACTACAGAGGCCGGTGGTAAGGGAGCAATGGCTCCCAAGCTCAAGAGACCTGCGGCCATGCCCGGCCGGGTGCGGCCGTTGAGGAGGCCTGGACGGGCGTCAGGAGAGGAGGAAGCAGAGAAAGACAAACCTACAACAGAGGAGTATCATCCCTTGGCTTCATTGACGCTAGACAGAATGAGAGAGTTGGACATCGTTGAGCTGGGCGAGACTTCGTATTATGGCGGGCACGCCAAGATCGCTGGAAGGATCCGGGGTTTGAAGCCTTGAGTTGTGTGGCGCGTTGACGGACAGGGTGCTGGCGCGATTTGGTGGGAGCAGTTCAAGGGCCGTGAAGGTTCACGCATGCCCGTCGAGTTGCCCGCAGCTGATGACCGGTGACAAGTACTTCCACGCCCGGGGGTTCTGGGACACATCAATAGCACCCAAACCGTGGCATACGAATCTTGTGCCAGCGAAGGGTGGTGATGAAGGAGAGGTTGATGAGTTGGCTGGACTACGTGAACTGGCCGTGGAGAGAGGCAAGGGGAGGGGAGGCGCGCCGTCTCCCAAAGAGGAGGTGCATCCGGAGCGAAGCAAATCGCCAGCAGCAGCTGCTGCAGAAAAGAAGGGCAAAAAGAGGAAGAAGAGAGAGAGGACTGCAGAGAAGGAGTATGAGGAGCTGTTGGCAAAAAAGGAGGAGACCGAAGAGCTTGAGCGGGGCCAGAAAACCGCAAGAGCTCTTTTTGCCTACACCTGCCTGGATCCGAACGCGCCGAGGCGAAAGCGGCTTATGAAGAGAGCAAGAAGAGTGAGCAAGAAGAAGGACAAAAAGAAGAGAAAGTCGGATTCAGGTGATTCAGGGTCATCCTCGTCCTCGTCGAGCGAGAGTGAGAAGGGCTCGGAAGAAGAGGGGCCGCTCTTCGAAGAAACCAGGAGGATCCGTAGGCTCAGCGAGAAGTGCCCAGGTGCATTGACTGCCCAAGCGATCGAGAACGTTCGTGAACATCTCCTCTCATCCCGTGGCGAACTGCATAGCGTGTCTCGAGAGCAACTGTCTCCGTTGTTCTCGATACACGCACCAACACCTTCAGAGTATCGCCAGTCCGGTGCTCTGGCAGGAGTTGGCCACTGTCGCCCAGGTCTCTGACCTGCTCCTCCGCCGGAAGGTGGCCACTGCGCTAGACGTGCTTGTTCAACGCGCGAAGTCGCTGGAGACAACACTCCGTGGTGGCCATTTTTCAGTTTCGCGCCAGGTTGAACTTGTCAATGCGGAACAAGTTCGAATCGCAGAACCAGCAGAGCAGGTTGAGGCCGCGAGGAGCGCAAGAGATGAGTTCCGAAATCGCTCCATCGGCAACAAACCCCATGGGATGACCCAGCGAGGAGAAGGTGAATATCAGCCCAAAGGACGTGGCAAGCCTGTACCATCCTCAGAGCCTTCCTACAAACAGAAAGGAGGAGAGAAGGGGAAGAACAAAGAAAAAGGAAAATGGGGAAAGAAAGCAAGAGAAGAAAGTTGAGGAAGGAGGCTGAGGAACGAGGTACAGGCATTGTGAGGAAAGAGGGTAAAACAGAAGGGTTGATGACAGGAGTGCTAGCGAGAAGTCAGGGAAAAGAGGATGAGGTTGAAGAAGAGGAGACAGGAGTTGAGAGGGCGATTGAAGATATGCTGACCGAATGTTATCAGAAAGCCTTTGAAGGTGAAGAAGCGCCTTGTGACTATGACCTTGGGGGTGAGTTTGGAAGTCGAAAGGACAAACCAAGCCCGCCGGGCCAAGGGAGGAAGATGGCAGCTACCTCCCAGCTTGAGGTGAGGAGTAAGCAATCTGCAGGTATGGACCGCAGACAGCGCCAAGCCTGGAGTGAAGAGGAGCTGGAGAAGTGTATAGGGGAGGTTTCAAGATCCTCCCAGCCTGCATGGGACCACTCGCCGCGACTGGATTTGAGACCATGCCACGGAGAAGAGTTGATGACGGAGCATGACCCCCCAGCATCATGGCCGATGAGCTTGCGATGCGTGTGTGGCGAAAAAGAAAGCAGTCTGAGGGAGCTGAGTCCGGCGCTGTCCAAATCCTTGGAGGTGTTGTCGAAGACCACGCGTTGCGGGCAGTCCACGGAGGGAATTTTTCCTCTCCCACTTCCAGGGGTTTTGGGATGGTGCGAACAAGTGGACTCAGTGTTGGATGCTTTGGTAAGAGGATTGAACAGCCTTTATGGAGTGACATCGGCTGCCAAATCGAGGGTTTCGAAGGTCCAGAAGAAGATCCTGGTGCGTTTGAGGGAAGTGGTTAGGAGCAGTGCTCTACCGGATGTCGTTCTCCCTCCCATCACCTTTCAAAAGTTCTTTGCAACCAGAGGCATCGATTACTCAGGTGAAGAGGTTCGTGTTGCCAAGTCATTTCAATGGAAGATGGTGGCAGCAGCTTTCCCCGAGGGGGTAGGATCCCTGGATTTAGAGGCCTTTTGCGAGGGAGGAACTCGGTCTTATGTGACGGATTTCGAGCAATTCCTGATCCCGCCCCAGGATCAAAGCCTTGGAAAGACACCTTCGATCATGGTCAACCAAGAGCACTGGGCCGAGGTGTGCCGCGGTTTGATTGAGAGAGGGGTGTGCAGTGTGATGAAGAAAGAGGATCTCTATCATGTTAACGGTCGTCCTGTACTAAATGGGCTTTTTGCAGTTGAGAAGGGTGAGAAGGCTGTTGATGATAAAGGTGAAGAATTCGAAGTTTGTAGGCTCATTATGAACCTTGTGCCGACCAATGGTCTATGTCGAAACCTGGTAGGGGACACATCTACTCTACCCACGGTTACAGGGATGTCTGGCACGGTTTTGGGAGATGGTGAGCTGCTTTTGACTTCGTCTGAAGATGTACGTTGTTTCTTTTACCTTTTTCGGACGCCCCACACTGGCACCGTTACATGGGGTTTGGAAGGGAGATCCCAGCAGAGGGCCTCCCAGAAGGGTACACTGGTGGTGGCTGGCATCTTGTGAGTCGTGTCTTGCCGATGGGGTTTGTGAACTCCGTGGCAATAGCGCAGCATGTCCATCGCCGAGTGATTCATCAAGCCCTAGGAGGTGAGAAGCATCTAGCAGGAAAAGAGCAGGAG